GCCTTGGTACAATACGTGTGCTTCAAACGGCACGTGTGTCCGGCCCGTTTAAAAATTCATTGTTTTCCATTACCGTGGACGCGATTACAAGCGAAAGTTGCTCAATGATGGCCTGTGCGGAGGAAAGTTACAATTAATTTCTCCGTTAATTCGGTAATAAAACATTGTTTTCGGAAAGCAGGCGCAATTGACGGTGGGAAGCGCGACATGGGCGGCAAATATTAGTTATTTACCAGTGATGTTCGCGCCTTTTCTTTTCTCTCGGTAATTCACTTTCAAAGAACCAGATGTCGTCAGAGTGAGTAAATGCCCGTTTTTAAGTAGCTAACAAAGGCATAACACAGTAGTAAAACTTGCTCTTTCTATACTGTGGCAGGTACTTGTACACATTAGTAGCACTGACGCAGATTTAACTTCTTTGACAAATGTGCTTTATGTTTGTCTGGAAATAGTGAGAATAGGAAGCAGTATTCTAATTGACCAGTAAATAGAAGACAGACTATATATCGCATTTTGACCTATTAAACCACCACTCGTTGTATTTGTTTCTAATCATTGTCATTTCTAGACTCGGTGGAGTACCATAAACGTGAATTCTAACGAAAGGTAAAGTATTATTTTTGTCCACATTGAATAATTACGTGCCTCTTTACACAAAGTAAGTAAAAAACAACGAGTTCACCAACTTGAATCACTTGTGATATTAGTTGAGAGAGACAGCCAAAAAACAATAGCAAAAGGAACGAAAATAACGTCACGAGAATTGGTTCCAAATACTACATGCTTACAGTTTTGTTAATTGTTATTGCTCACATTTCGGCCATAATTGAAACTAACTTGAACATTTCCGCGTTTTGTTAAGAATCAAAGATCAAGAAATCCTAATCGTCAAAACGAAATGAACATTATTATTTTGGGATCGCGGATCTCAGCGTACATTCGTTGCTCATTTTGTAGTATTTAACACAATGGGAAAATACTGCGTTCAATTTAAATTCGTTTATCGCTTCAACAATCATGGTCCCAATTAACAAAAAACGGTTCAAGTTATCTGCTGGTGGTGAGTGTATCCATGTATTAGTAAATGGTGTATCATAGCATAGTCTCCAAAGTAAAAAGCGAAATATCGTTTCAGATCATAGCATGAGATGACCTCTCGTGACTATTTGATAATTGGAGGGTGTGTATAACGTTAAATGGAAGTCAAGCAAGGCAATGCAATATTACATGTTCTATACGGTCTGTTCTGTTTCTTCATACACGCTAATAACACGATATTTCGAGGTGTTTCCCGGGGATTCCGAAATTTAGAAAATGTCCAAGTTGTAACAATCACAGTGACGTTGTAATCGATGTTTCAGTCACATTAATATCGAATCACTGTTGAACCTGTTAGTGATATTTTTTATAATACGAAATAAAAATAAAAATTCTAGTTAAAGCATTAATAGATAAAAAATAAATTTCCCAATAATTCGGAACAACCCATCTTGTAACTACATTTACAATCTTTATTTTTGGCGTATTTGACCCAGTTTGTGGAAATTAAAGTAGTGCGGCGACCATACCTTTTCATCTGGATTTTAAGCATGTTTAACCATGACGTCAAGCGTAATGTCACCTTTTGTCGCCTTCACAAAGTTCTGTGGCCAATGGGAAATTATGTATATTAATGAGTTTAAGAAATGTTGCACCCAAATTTGACGGAATAATTATGGCGCTCAAGATGATTTTGTGATTTGTCGACATCGGTTTATTTCTAGAATACATCAACACGTTTGAACTTGAATTACCACCATACATCACGATTATCAGGAAATCGGCTGCCTGATTTAAGTTGGTTTATAAAGCACTGCGACAATGAGTATGTTACTTTTTTGTTATGCACGGATGCCCATCGAATCACTAGGACCTAGTGGAATGAAGAGATAAGGTTTCCCCGAATTTCGCACCACAGAACGTACTTCGTTAGACATGGACATTGTCATTCTACGGTCTGTAGTAGAAGATGAAATGGCTGAACAAAGAATATGAAAGTACCAGCATTTTAACAAACTTAAATTTAGGGAAATCTTCATCGCTTTCAGCCCCATTTTGCAATATTAGTTGGTGTTTCCGTATTGCATTCAAGATGAATTCGAGTACTTATTCGATATTCATATGAAAAGTGCAGCCATGTTTACACTATGGTACTCACGTGGTGCACCTCACTGTGACAAAAGAGGGGATCTCCCTGATAAATATAACAACAACGTTTGTATGTGATATGACAACAGAAAGCTAAGCGTACCTACATGCATAAGTAGCCCAAATTTTCCAGATTTGTTAATCCATCTATTAAACAAAAATTACCTTAGTGTTGCGAAATAAATAACCACATGATGGTTTATCGTGTGATATGATGTATATTTATTATAATAGCATATGAAAAATGAATTTTATTTTTCAGCTGTCTGTTATGCTGTGTAGAATGAATTTTCCTCAAAATTGTTCCTTTACTCATTTGACAACACAGAAGTCATTTGAGGAATTACACGGATATACAAAGTTGGTTAGTCAAAACGTGGCGTGTGGCAAATGTTAAATGTTCTTTGATTATAGTGTGTAGACCTAAATACAAATAAATTAACACTGTGGTAATTATATTGATTTTCGTTTAGCCGGGCTGGGACAGATTACGGAATTCATTGGGCACAGATTATCAATCGACTCGTTATTTAGCACGACAAATTAATGCCGAAAATCATGTTCAATTTACCTGTCCTTACAGGTGAAAGATTTTCATTACAAATCGACGTTTCTCTTTTCACAAAAAAGTTGATTGGAAGCTATAAAACTCTTAAAGATCCCCGCTAGTCGATACAGTTCCCGGCAATACAGAAGTGAAATTCGCTGATTTATTGCCGGCCAAGCCATAACACACGTCCTTTTTATCGTTTTCCGCTTGTTTGCAAATAACCTTAATAACAGTGCTCTTTTTAATCTAGTGGTTCGGTACGGTGCGAATTTTTATGTTCGGGGGATAAGACCGCAATCTGTCGACTCAAAAACCGTGAGCGGTTATAGGTGCGCAATGTAGTATGTCGTTGTGTGAGACGTCACAGGAGCCGGACACATAGTGCGATGGTTGTGATTAACATACGACTCCAGCAAAACCGATGGTTGGAGGAACGGGGACTTTATGGTCTATTTATGCTGGGGATGCTTATAATATTCGTGAAAAGAATTATATATTATCGTTATTCAGATTTTGTCCCGAATGAGTCATTAAACACGTGACTTCTGAATTGATATACAGTGGATAATATTTGGTACTTGTTGTTCTAACAATTTAAACGTTTCAGGCAACGGCTCTTTGTCGATAGTATACAAAAAACTGTTCTGAATTGCCTGGCGTCATGGTAACAAACAGATAAATTTCAGTGAGTCAATTTCAATATGTCCTAGTACAATTTAATTATGATTATCATAATTAAATTTTAAAAAAGTATTTGTAATTAATTGTCGCTATTGCATGCATTGTTTTCTACACGGCCAGTGTGATTGCTCGATAAACCGGGCATCTTTCATAAATAATGTTTTGCCATCAACAATCGGCGAGTCAACATGTATGTCAATGGTACGACTATTGAGGGGCTATTTTGTAATACAGATGACCATGACTGCAAAAAACATTGTTTATCAAGAGTATATTCTACCCATCCCATTTGTCATTGCAAACCGAAGTGTATAATGAATTGGTACAAGAATAGTTGTAACGCTTAGTGTTCTGTGTGATTATTTTTAACAATGGAGCTTGTCGACTTCTTAGCGATGGACAAAACTATATCTCGGCAATACAACAACAAATGGAATTTTTGGGTGGGGAATAAATAATGGAAAATTGATATGGAATAATATAACTCATTTGTGTTAGAATAAGTCGTCTGTATCGACTTTTGTCATAAAACGTGATTTTGCTCAAATTTTGTTCATGGAACGACAAGTTCGTTCTTACAGATAGAATTGTCTCCGAAACAACTTTATCATTGTCCGTTCATCGAATAAAGTAAGTTTAACTTTAAGGTTATACTGTTGATGTACTCGTTAATCGTGTATTATAACAAAAATAGCTGATGTTTAGACGCTCGTGGAGCTAAAAAAAAGAGCTCTGTGCTACAACCAACGAGGCACAATAGTTACATATTATCGTATATTATAAGTATGGTGCGCGTTCGAAGTTTCCTGTTGAATAACACAAGATTTCGATTCCGTTTGTTTCTTCACTGTTTATTTGTACAACGTAACGTAAATGTATTTTGAGTATATGTGTGTTTGGGGGTCGTTACCTTTATGAACTCGCACCTTTCCCGCACCGTCCTAACGCTTTATATTTCCCTTTGATGACGAATGGCAAACGCTGACAGTTGTCTTAGTTCTGAGCCAACCCGACGCGAGGAACTTCGTTGACATTTAAGAGAGGCTACCGCTTCGTCGGCGTGGACCACCCTCAAACACCGTACGTGTGAATTGGCTGAACTTTGTGCCCCTCGGTCAACATACTAAACTTATTTGACAACACTGCCATTGAAGGATCACCCTTCAAATGACTCTTAGATTTCTCGCCTGTGCTTGTCTCCACAACATTGCGGATTTTTATTTCTATAATGTGTGACATTTTCGAGTAGAGCGCCCACAATACTCCCATCAATCTGCCACAATCGGTCATTTGCGTGGACTTGAGTTTTTTTTCGTGTAAACGAGGATTGGTTTTGACATCATATTTTTCGTAGTGCACATGACCGCTTCTAGTATTTGTTGTCTTACTTGGTAGCTCTTCTGCCGATGTGTATCTAGTGCGTCAATCGACCGTCAACACCTAATTAAATGCGCTGATTGTCATACGCCGATCATAATGAGATTAGTTAGATAAATCAATGAGCTCCGGAACGATCGACCAATCAGAAAGAAGCTTAGTAATACCACGTAGGGTTAAACATTTAAAACATTAGGTCGTCTGTGGTATACATCGACTGTCCTCTCGGTAAGGTGCACCGTGTCTGTAATCTTGTGAGTGACGTACTCCCCTCTTCGCTAAAACGCCGTCGTACCGAGGTAAAGTCGCTGACAACAACACGAAAACGTGTAGGCATCGTCTTAAAGCTAGCCATGGAAGCCTCTAAGGCCTTCACCATTGACGCTCTGCTCGCCCGAGAACCGTCCAAACAGAAGTTGATCAGCCCTACAGCCTGTAGTCCACCATGTACAAGCCCGTTGAGGGTCAGTTTAGCACCAGACACATTTCTGCCGACCAGTCCGCATTCAAGCCCGCCTCCTTCGCCGCCAAGAACATGCATTAGCAGCTTCGTGCCGAAACCGGGCCTGTTGAACATCATGCCGAGCTTATCACAAGCCCCAGTCATGCACCCTAGCATGTACGGCCACCCCATATACTCGCAGCTCCATATGCAAGGGTCGTCCGCTTACAACCCGAGTGCGTTCCAGCCCACACCGGACCCAGGTTGCATGAAATCACAGGGCCTTCCTAATATCCCTATGGAGTGGATCCACGGAGGGAGAATGATGATTCCAACGCGATTGCCAGATTTCGGTATGTACATTTAATGTATTTAAAAAAAACATAATGTATCAGAAAATATTAAATTTTGTGTGCATATGATATATAATTCACAAGTTCAGAAATAATAGTTATCGAACCGAGTTATGAAGGTGTTGTATATGATAATTGGTATGTATTTTGTCGCGCGAACATGGTTTTTTATTACAACAAGTGAAATTCTATATCTTTCTGAAGTGTGGACATTCTAAATGGTTAGTTAGTACTTGGCATGACACAACATGCGAAGAATTAAATTTATAAACATCGTCAGATCTCGGGAAAAAAAGAGAGAATTTGGGTGTTCATTTCATAGGCCGTTTGCGACCTTATGTCAGTGATGCGGTGCTGAAGCGAAAACAGCCAGCGATTCATGGCAATCTGAAATCAACATTATGAACTGCCCGCTATCTCTATATTGCTTTTTTTCATACGCATTTTCCTGGTATGAAGAAGTTTTTTTTTCTGTAAACACATAGACGCTTGATATCTGGTTGTGACAAATAAGCAATGTTCCAGACCGTATGACAGTACCAGTTGGCTTCATTCTTATCAACGTGACAAGTCTCAGTATTATCAGTGTCGTCGTCCAAACACACACATTGTTCTGTTTGTTCGCGTACTGTTTTTATTCTGTATAAAAGAACCATACATTTTCATAATCAAACATATTAAAGTCAAACAAAACCACTCTGTTCACACCCGCCACTTCTTTGAAGCCGGATTGTGATAGGAAATTTCCCGAGTAACGCAGTGTATATCGGTACACACACTGGTGTGACTCGGTACCATTTTGCCGGCTTAACAAGAACGCTCGAACTTGGCATCGACCGGCGGAGTTTCTTTCACACACTAACTAACGTGAATTTACTCGATACTGTATTCTATTGACTCGAGTCGTTTAGGACTGCAATAGTTCATCAAACACTCATACAGGAAAGTTTAATATTACTCCCATTTTTGCGACCACACACCGCCGTCATTCGGACGACACTGGTTGTTTATCAATGACTGCCTTGCCGAGTTCCCACTCGTCATTCGTGTCCCTCTTCTCAACCGACAAACCGTTATAGATATATATTTCAATCGCTTTAGTAAAAATGGTTAAAATTAAGTGCCCATTCTACTGAAAATAAATAAGAACAGTAAACAAACCTCACTAAAATAACAATAACATTTCAGGTTTTACCCAAATCAAAAATTATATTCGCTAAGAAGATTGAATTCTTAACCATAGCCATGTTCCACAAAACTCGCCACGGGGCGACGCTGGGCAGCAGAACTGATGATTTATTCAATACCCGTTAGCAAAAACACACAATCTTTGCCGTTAAACTTATTATCTGCTGCTCTTCTCTTCATTGACTGTAAGAGTGTTTTTTTCCTAGATAAACATTAATTTGACTTTTCCCATTAGGATAGAAAATACGACGTTACTGGCGTGTTTTCGTGATAGCTAAGATGTACTTAATAATCGTATATGTGCAAATCGAATCACTTCAATTTTGCTACCAATTTTAATCATAAAAAATATATGTAAATAATTTTCAATATCACAAATAAGCTTTTCGATTTAATTTGCACACAATCTCACGTGGAATTACACTAAAACGACACAGCTTTAAAATAGAATGGCTGTTTTCGTTGTGATGTATATTCCATCTCTCCGCCTTTATTTGAGAACAAATTGTGGGTTATTCTTATGTTTGTTTCGATGTCACGTGAGTTCACCTAGCCAACGCTTTAATGTCACAGGCCTCTTCCGAAGGTGTGATATATACCATAAATTATCGCCTTGTAAGTAGAGCTTTTAGCGAGGCCGCCCGGCCAGTGAGTTTTCCTATCTTTCATATAAATATTGGTGTGGGAACTGCCTAGGTTGCGCCAACGACTAGCGGGGGCCAATCGATATTACGCACGTTCTTTTTTGATTTGTTTTTATTTCACGTAATTAGCGTCTATTCAAAGGAAGTCAGTGTTTTTTGTGTGTGTCAAAACATCGAATTTTTAAACTACAAATAAGTGATGAATCACTTGCAGTAGTTGCCATAACGGCGAAATTGGTGTTAATTACTCGGTGCGTATATTTGTACCGTTTCAAGTAGATAGTCAATACGACGCATCGTCTGCGGGATTCGGTTCCCGCCAATCAGCAGAAAAATAGAGAATGATTTGACTTAATTTTAGTGCTAACTTCTGAAATAGCGCGCCCTTTGTTTGTTTTAGGCAAAATAATGACATCACTCTATCAAAAGTTTCCCGCGAGGCGTCGTTTCATTTCTTATGTTGCAAACAAGTGAACTGCAAATCAAGGGGTTCTCGTCGTGGTCGGGCACGTGGCAGTGCATAGTGGGAAACAGTATCAACTTCACACGAGATTTCACAATTATTGATTCCACGCTTTCTGTTAATTTTATGGGATTCACAACGTATCTGTAATTGTAGTCGGCTTAAGAGTCACGTGCCGAGCCCGCGCCGTTTAAGAAATTAGTTTTCATTTCTACATCTCACTACATCTGTGGACCTTTTTTTAAATAAAAGCCACACTTTCTCGTTCTTGCTTGATGTTCGCGATGCTTCATTTCCCATAAACATTACTCAAAAAGGCCCTGAACTTCGTCAATAAAATATCACCAGAACAAAAACGTTTATTCAAGCAACAGTCGTTTGAGTGGAGATCTACTTGGCTGATGGGGGGTCGGACTTGATATATACTGATAAACCGCCGTCGTCGGCATATAGTAGATTTCCGCCTTGCGGCGGCACAGGGTTACATACAGACAAGTCACGAGAGTACTCACTGTAGCAAGAGGGTGCTAGAATTATCGAATGCATGTTTGAAAGTTAGAGCCAAGGCGTGAATGTGAAGAAACACCGAAAAAGGAATAAAGTAGTATAAAGCCACGCGCTAAAACTATTAAAACCATTCTGTATTTAAACATGGGTAGTGAAACAACTACATCTTCACTCCTTCTTGTCGGACCGCTACCCAAAATAAACAATCGGATATTGTATAGCGTGTTCTACCGCTATCAATGCGCCGTATTTTCCCACACTTTTTAATGTACAATAAAGACACTATATGTGTTGTATACTTTTGTAAATTTTTTGGCTGCCACGTTCCATATTTAATAATTGTATACGATTCGAACAAAGAGTGGCTAGCAATTACGGAGGCCCGTGTCTCCAACAGCATTCTCGTATCAGCGATCAATTTAATAAGCGCAATTATAATTAAATCACAACTCACTTTAGCATCAAGGGAGAAACATTATTTTTTATAAAGTTTATAATTCAGACTTAAGCCTGTTTCCGGGGGTGGGCTGGAACTGTAATCTTCAATATTATTCAAAAGCGCAACGCCATTGATACTACGTTCATCGGCTTTGACATGTGATTGAGTCGTCCGTGTATGATATCATTTCCATTTGTGTTGCTAGGGTTAAGCTTGTTAAAAGAACTACTCTGATTAAATTGAAACCCACCGAGGCACTGATCTGGTTATTAAATATGCTAATTTAAAATATGCAGGACTGGAATAATCATGGAACTAATTTTGTACTGAATTTCGTGTGTATGTTATATGTACGGCATATAGTGAAAACATTAGGGTCATGTTGAATGTTGTATTTTTTTAACATGCAAAATATTCGTATGAATACCGATGACTCGGGGGAGGGGATTGAACATCGCAAAATAGGGTGTTTTCTCATTTATATATGCGTAAGCCATCTCCTCCGAAAGACCAGTTTTATTTGTAATTTCCATTCGAGTAGGATGTTCGTGTTCACAGTAAATATATACCGATATAAGTTAGTCCTAATTCATGGGTAGTGGGACGTTATCGAAGCTTCGGAAGCTATAAGGCACGAGTTTCGAAACCAACTAACAAGAAACTTATGCCGGGGATTGACTATAGGAGGGGAGTTAGTAGCCTTGTTATGATATTACGGTCACATGAGATATGAATTGCATTGGTTAGACAGTCTGTGACCGCAGAAAAACATGCATTGACGGTAAAAACGTGCTATGACTCTATATTCAGACAACCCATTTCCACCAATAATCATCACAGCTCACAGTTCATAAAACAATTGTTGTGAAATTGACTATTTTCAACAAAATCTTCTTCGCGGGTTTCTCACCGCGCCGACTAGCCCCCTTATTTCAATGTACACACGGGTTCACAACAGAACTCTGCGACCACTCATGGACAGATATGTATACACAGTTTAATCCCGTGTAGATGGTCAAATTGCGCCCTAACATCGTCTTCATTAACTCATCTGACCACATTACGACTGTATACATGGCAATGTCAAAGGTCAAATCGAAACGGTCAGTACGATGGATATCGTTTGTAACACCACGTGGGTCGACATATCGTTTGGATGCCAAGGTTTCCACTTCAAACTAGTAATGGAAATATTCGCAAATGAGTTGTGTAAAAAATAAACTCTTTTATGTTTTGTTTTAGACAATGTTGTTTGCAAGCTGAACCAACAAAACGAGCACTTCGTTTTCCTACGTGATATTAATATATATGTGCTTATTTCATAACACTTTTTGTATATTGACATTATTATGTGTACAGTGAATCTGTTCTTAATACTCTCTCCACCTTCCTTGTTGACAGTGCTCCGCTAATAAAAATTATTATAAACATTATGACAATTTATATATGTATTAACCTGTTATTACGTAAAGTAAAATAGTTTTTAATTAAACTGATACAAATTTTTTGCCACTAAATGACATATGATGGAACGCGGGGCATTCTTACTATTTTAGAATATTCTGATTGACCTTATCCACCCCCACCCCCGCCCGTGACCGTGTCATGTTCACGTGATGTACATGACATGTACCACAGGTACTACGTCGGATTGTTGATCCACTCGTTTTATCTCGATGATTTGTGCTGTTGTTCGAATCAGGTTTCACTACATACATCTTCGGCTTTATCAGTCATGTTTGGCAGTTTCTAGGCTTGT